AGAGAGAGAGAGAGAGAGAGAGAGAGAGAGAGAGAGAGAGAGAGAGAGAGAGAGAGAGAGAGAGTATCCACAAACATACTGTGCATTGCAAAGAGGCCGCACAGGCTAAAATTACCCAGCCAGAGTGTCCTGGTGTTGTTGCACACAAGCAAGGGTGTGGCAGAAACATGGGGACACTCACAAATTTCTGTCATGCCCTGGTAGGTCGCTCCCAGGCCCGGTGGGAATTCCCCTGAGTGCCTCCAACGGCGACAGGGACGCAGTGAAAAGATTGATGGCACCGGTGGGGGCATATCAGAAAGTTTTTCAACGGCTATCCAGCAGGGGCATGATGCAAATTGTTGTGGATCCGGTAGGGGCACTACAGAACCATATGAGGCCCAAACGACACCAGGGTTTTGTGGAAAATTTGACTTCTGGTCAGAAGGGCATGACAGTGTAAATCGACTGTCGGAGGGGCACGACGCAAATTAACGGAAAATACAGGGGCTCCAGACAAAATTTTCCTTTAAAAAAAGGGAAAAAAAAAGAGAAAGGAAATTGAGCCTCTCCTAAAAATTAGGAGGCCATGAACAGCGGATTCCGTCCATAGCCGGTGTGCCCCGTTGGGGGTTCGCTGAAGGCAATCAAGGCCACCCTGGGCTGAAAAGGCCACCCGATGTCAGATTAGACACAATATTGAATTTACCTGGGCTGGTTTGTCCGATGATAATACCTCATAGCCTCCGGATTCTTAGGAGAAGCTGGATCTGCTTTTTCGTATGTACCGATCAGACCCTGACTCGCCACAATTCCTGCTTTTTCGCTAGCCACCCTTCCGCCACCGATCGTTGCGGATGGCGAGTAGTGAAGCTACAAGGTAGGCCCTAATTTCGCTATTTTCGAACCTCCAGCCCACGGCCCAGTTCAACCCCCTCCTCGGCGGACCGCACCCCTCAGCCAGCCAGGTAAGGTCGAAGCGAGACTCCTCGTCACTTGCCGGACGTGTGCATGTATCAGCCTACCTTTCCCGGGCGACACGTGTAGCCGCAGGTGAAGGCGCAGACTAGTGGCCCAATGGCCGCTGCACCTGCGCACACGTGGGATGGGGTGCCACTCTCAATGAGTGGGGAATGTGACGGAAGGGCGTGGTGCTCCGCACGTGGTCGATGTGAGCGGCGCTCGCACATAGGAGCACCAGAGTGTCTCGGTCCATTTCCATCGTTAGATGCGAACAAGACAAGGAGAAGATCGACATCGGCTTTATCCTTATCCACAAGTATATCCTTATCGACAAGCATATCCATATCTAACGGGCGTCAAGAGGCGTGCAGGTGCCACAGTCATCGAGCAAGTAGTCCGCTATCTACACCAGCATTACAACAAGCCAGTTTCGCCGTCGGAGAGGCTGACACGTGGACATCTTTCACGTCTTCGGCGGCAGCGGTGAGACTCCAGGCCGTTCTTGAGATAAAATGCCGAGGGCGGCAAAGCCAGCGGCGACGCCCGCGCACCGGCACAGGCTGCTTCCAGAAAGCTGACGTGGCAAAGCAGTTGTCATCAATTGCAACGCAGCAAGTTTGCCCGGTGACCTGGCGAGGGGGAGGGGTGTCATTGTCGACCCCGTGCTGGGACGCAGTACCGGTGGGGACCACCACCAGTGTGAAATCGGTGCATTTGCATAGCAGAAGGAAAAGTGGATCGCTAGCAGGCACTCGCTGCTCCCCTGTTGCGCGTAACGGGGGAGCAAGAGGAGGATTTGGGAAATCGGTTGCAAGAGCAGAACGACGGCCAGGAGGCGATCATGGTGATGATGGCGATGGCGATGGCGATGGCTGTAATCACAGTGGTGGTCGCCAATGGGATGAGAGGGAAACAAGCGAGAACGTCGTGGACTTGGACACCTTGGGAAAATCGGCGGGAGAAGAAGCGATCGACGACGGATCGAGCCCGTGTGTCGTCAAAAGGCGGCGTCTTGTGATGCTCCTGGTGTCAGGAGTTCTAGGACTGGAAGGGGCAGGCGGGGGAGGTGTCGAAAGCGGACGCTCCGACAGGATGCTAGCGGCAGCAGCGGAGAATGACAGTGAAGCAGGGTCAGCAGGTGTCGCCGAGAAAGACCAAGGAGGAGGAGGAGGAGGAGGAGGAGGAGGCGGAGGAGGAGGAGGAGGAGAGGGAGGAGGTGGTCTGGAACTGGAGGAGTATAGGGATGAGAAGGAGGGTTTTGTGGTCCAACGACCCCGGGATTGGGAGAAGGTGGAGAAAGCAGGTGCCACGGCTCTTTTCCGCGACCGGCTAAAGCGAGGTAACACTGTGGGTGTGGTCGTTAATCCCGTGCGGATCGACTCTCTGATCGGGTTCGGTACCGTCGACGACATAGCTGCCAAGTTGTTGCAAGCAGAGAGAAAGAAACCGAGCACAAAGGACGTGCAGCTTCTAGGAGTGGGGGAGAGAGTGGCTGCAAGCGGAGTGCCTTTATACACGCTGGAATATAGACTCGACAGTACTAGAGGACTAAAGAGAGTCTTATCGGCGGTCACGATAGCGCAAAGAAGACTGTACATACTAAACATAACATTCGCCGACGGAGAAAGCGGCGACAATGACAAGGGAGACGAACTGATGGAATTCGACGCTCTGCGGACAGTAATGCAACGAATTGCGGATTCATTTGAAGTATTGCAGCAGACGTGAAAGGAAGGATGGAGGAGGAGGAGCAGCAGCAGCAGCAGGAGGAGGAGGAGGAGGAAGAGGAAGCAGCAGCAGGAGGAGGAGGAAGAGGAAGAGGAGGAGGAAGACGAGGAAGGCAAGTAAGAGGAGAACGGATTGCAATTCGACGCTCTGCAGACTGCAATGCAATGAATTGCTGACTCATTTGAAGTATTGCAGACGTGAGTGGAAGGATGATGGATCAGCAGCAGCAGCAGCAGCAGCAGCACGACGAAGAGGAGGAGGAAGAGGAGGAAGAGGAGGACGGATTCCAATCCGACGCTCTGAGGACTGCAATGTGACGAAATGCTGATTCATTTGAAGGTTTGCCAGACGTGAAAGGAAGGATACAGGAAGCGGAAGAGCAGGAGCACGGCGAGGAGCACGAGGAGGAGGAGGAGGAGGAGGAGGAGGAGGAGGAGGACGAAGAGGAGGAAGAGGAAGAGTTTTCTCCGCTGGCAATGACAATTCATTTCTTTGACATTTCTTTGAAATTGGGGCTTTCGATTTGTAAAGAGGAACTTGAATGCTCCGATGGTCAAAGGCCATGGCGAGGAAAGGAAGTTGGGAGGCCCGCCCAGCACACCATGTGGCTTTGAAACGATAGACAGCTGCTGGGAAAAACTGTCAGTAAACCCCGACCATGAGTTTGATCCTGATGGAATCACTCAGACGGATGCAATAATGTTTTCTGGGCTGAAGCAAGGAAAAAATAGAGGAGGAGGAGGAGGAGGAGGAGGAGGAGGAAGTGAAAGACCTATCATTCTCCCCAAAGCTTTATGTTCTCTGTTTTCGGGTGCTCCACCCAAACAAGAACATTGTTGCAATTCTTCATGAATGGTATCGTTTGGAGCCTTCCTTTTTTTTTTTTTTTTTTTTTTTTTTTTTTTTTTTTTTTTTCGGAAGGGCCAACGGCCTTCAGATATAATATTCAATTATATTATCGTTGAACTACTGATCAGCGTTATTCAGAATCATCACGACTGTTTCTGGAATTGAGTAAAGAGCTGGTTCCATTCTGGGACCATTTCTGGGACCATTCTGGGACCATTTCTAGGACCATTCTGGGACCATTCTGGGATATCGTTTTTGAGTTCCATTTCACGGTTTTGAGTTTTTTTGGCCACCTGTCAAGAGTCATACTCACACTAGGACACTCTGTTACTGATTTATGGACGTCATTGCGGTCAGATGCATCGACGTCCGGCCGTAAATGAGGTCAAATACATTTACGATAGAGCTACAGTGTGAGCACGCCCCGAGACTGATTAGGCATCTTTTTTTTCTCTGTTGAAGGCCAATTCATAGTCGTCATTCCTGTTATCTTAGAAAAAAAAAAAACCTCAGAAATCTTCAGGTATGATGTCTCGCCTCCAAACTGGCTACCTTCTTCCCCCGAGAATACAACGTACGGTCATTATAGCTGCATTTGAGGCGTCTTTCAGTCTAGATACCGCTATAATGACCGTACGTTGTATTCGGTGGAAGAAGGTAGCAACCTCTACAACACCCCGGGCTTAAATAATTTTTAAAAAAAGATAAAAAAAATAAAATTGGCTAGCAAAAAAAAAAAGAAACGAAAAGAAAAGAGAAGAGACTGGCTAGCCTGCCCTTTTGCAGGCCAACTGTTCATGTCAGTCAGTCAGCCCCCCAAATCAGCTCGGGCTATAGGACAGACAGCACAACTCGTCTTATAGCTATTTAGAGCAACCTGATTGGCCCTGGCCCTCCAATCAATTGCAAGGGCCCGACGATTCACACTTGCTGGAGTGTCTCATTCATTCATGCACATATGTCACCAAACACAGATAGGCTTCACACAAAGCTCAAAGTTGAGGTGAGAGAAGAACCAAGTAGCGCAGCTTATATTATAAAAAATCACGTTATACAAGAGTATCTCAAGTTCAAGAGACCAGCGCCCAAAGTAAGTATACAAGTCTCTCCTTCGTTCCAACATGCATACAGAGCCTGGCTTAGCCAGCGCTTGTTCCAGATCTCAAAAATGGCACTAACAGGTAAGTTTCCACCATCACCAATGTCTCCACCTGTCTTCACTCTCCCTTGTTCTCTTCTCTCAAGATCTCTGCCCCGGTTCTCCTTGTCTCTTCTTACATGCACACTCCCTGTCTACATGGATCTACTCAGAATGCCTCTCGCTGATGTACTAACACTAGCTCTGTTAATACTACTACTAACACTAGCTCTGCCTGGCACAGCTATGGCTTGCTGCGGCCTGCACAGCTTCCCTTCCTTTGGCGCAGGTTCTTCTTCAGCCAGCGCTACCTCCCTGCACCTTAGCGCACAAGTGCCTCAGCACTTCCACGCATCAATGCTCATGGGGATCTCCCTTGTGGGGAGGCTGCCTCGTTTCTTATAGTGCTGGCTTCCCCTGGCGAGGTCTGAATTTAGTCTTTATTGGTCCTTTTCCCAGTCCCAGCCTCTGTGCTGTGTGCCACAGTTCCTTTTCCTCAGGGTCCACTGCTGCTGCCGCCTTCAGGCCTCAATTTCGGACTTCCAACCTGAATCTGGACTCTCCCTTGGACTGGAATCCTGACTGGGACTCAACCCTTTGACTTCCTTTTGAAAGGACACACCTACTATACGTACAGACACTCATTCTGCATGAACCGTGACAGACACATATACTGCACGTACAGACACATCTCTTGCCTGAACAGACATGACCTGCACACCCCCTGGACGAACAGACGTGACCCCCAAATCTAGATATTGCAACTGTTCGTTCAGGACACAACTGTGACCTTTGACATTGGCTTTTGCTTAGCTAGGATGTGACTCTTGACCCAGAGAACATGTCCTTTGATCTGCTTTCACGAGTTGAGCTCTGGGCGAGTGACCCCACTAGGCTGCATTCGTCAAATAGGGTCTGAATCAGGTAAAGGCCCTTGTACTATGTGAGAGAGGTCGGTTCTTGTTCTGGTCTGTGTACCGTATGCGACAGTTTGGTATCGAAGCGGACCTCTCAATCAGAGGGTCCGCCCAATCAAGGAGCCAGTTTGCTTGATCGACTGATTGTTGAATGATTGATTGATTGATTGATTGTTTATTAGTGAATCAAGTAGGGCTTCGTCAAATCTCTGCGAAAAAAAAAGTTATTTTTCGCAACTTCGGGTATTAGAATTTCATTTTCTGTTTCCCTCTGGGCATATTAGGTGAACTAAGGAGGTTGTCATACTCTCGGACTGGATCTGTTCTTCTCTGAAAGTGGAACCTCCAGTCTATTTCGCGCAAGTTTTTTTTTTCAAGATTGCATTTTTTTTGAAAGCCAAAACTTTGTGAAACCTTGCCTAGATCTCGCTCATAGTACTCCTCTGAAATGCCTCACTGATAACAGATCTACAGATGTACAAAAAAAAAAAAAAAAAAAAAAAAAGGAGGGGGGTAAGTGGACCGTGATCCTCTTCTGTTATTTTTTATTTTTATTTTATTCTGTTGATTAGGACCGGGAATGGAAAGACTAAGTGCAGTTTTGTTACCTTTCTGCGTTTCCCTCCCACCCAGCCCTTTGTCTGCATTCCCGGTTTGGTAAGTGCCACGACAGCAGCAGTGCCACATCAGCAGTGCCACATCAGTAGCAGTGCCATGTCAGCAGTGCCATGACAGCAGCAGTACCAACGTCAGCAGTGCCCCGCCACCATGACGGTTTCAGCTTTGGGCATGCCAGGCCAATTGGCCAACGAGTCCATTGTCGAATACCGACAGCGGTTTCTAGATCAGCTCGCACTGATCGAGGCTGAGGTAGAGCGCCAGACGGCAGCCGAAGCTGCCCGCCTACAAGCTGAAGCAGAGGCAGAAGCCGACAAACAGCGGCTTCAGGCCCAGGCCCGCCGCAAGGAGGCCCAGGATCTGCTGCAGCGGCACGAAGCCACCAGCATCGACAAGCTCAAGTTCTGACATTTCGAACCATCCAAGGACCATGACGACCCAATACCGGAAGAGCAGCACAGGGAGTTTCTCTCCAAACTCGTGACCCGGTTGGTTTCCACTTGTAACCACCTGCAGTCCGAATTAGAGAAACAACACCAGGAAATGGCGAAACAGCACCAGGAACTAGAGAACCTCCGACGGGCAGTGCGGAACCAAGGATCTGCACGAGGGTGCTACACGGGCACTTGATTGCCGTGTACAAGACTTGGAGACGCTGGGGAACCCAGCAATGCAGCCTCAAGCCGCTAGTTGGAGCAACGAGTTGACCATGTAGTCGCAATGCTTGGCGACATCAGCACCTTCACAACACAAGTCACCATCAGTGAGCAGCTCGACACCTTTCAGACCGAACTCAGACAGCTACACCAGCCGCCCGACAACGATCGCAGCACCTGTGCATTGAAGCACTACAAGATGGCGACGTTCCGGATCGAGAAGTTTGACGACTATACGCATTAGGAACCTGGTCCAGTCGTCTGGTGGCAAGGGCTTTAGAACAGAGTTTGGGATTCACGAGATCCTTGAACATTTGTACATCGTAGCATGGGCGGATGCCAGATCTGGCTCTGCCACATGACAACGATCCACGACATCCAGGTCAACAACTTACACAAGAAGATCTCCTGGGAAGAAGTGGTTCATTGTTGACGACGCCCCGACGTTCGCCATCAACCGCCTCTTCAGCATGACTCAAGGCAACACACTAACACGCGACTGCCTCACGGAATTGCAAAAGATCGTGGCAACACCCGATCTTGACTTGCCATTTTCGCATTTGCGCCGGGAGTTCTACAACCGGTCGTGTGCCGCCTTGAGCCTCGCACTTGGTGATCGAGAACAGTGCAAGAATTTCGCTGAAATCATCGACAAGGCGTGTGAAATCATCAAGAGCAACCGGGCTGCTGCACATGAGAAATCAGCGTGGCAGCCAGCCTATGTGGAGAAGGGAAAATTTGGTCCGCGTCCGCAGCTAGTCACGACAATCCAACCGGAGAACATAATTGTGGAAGACCCGGCAACCACCCCAGCATCACGTGAGGGAGATCAGGTGGTCGTTGTCCAGCCGTGAAGCAACAACAACTCCCGTGGAAAAGGGAAGGCGAAAACAGCATCGCCAGCCAGAAATGGACAGCCAGTACCATAGGTCAAGTTCAACTTGACCAAGGCCGAATACAAGTACCGCATCCGATACCGCTGCTGCTATTGGTGCAACAACACCAAGCACAAGACCTCCCAATGCCAGGATTAAGGCAAGGAGGATGTTCGACCTCGAATCAACTCCAGAAACTGAGTTGCGCGGGAGATGAGGCGACTCCACTTCTCACTCCGCCAGATTCGGCCGCTTTGCTAGCAGCCTCCTACACATCTGGGGAGAATGCGGATGTCACGAGTCCTCGGTTCACTTACAAAGATTACGCTGTTCACTTGGTCCCACCGTTGGACCAGTCACTCCACGTGCAACAATCTGCCGCATGCACGGTTTCACCACCATCGACAACTGATTCAGCAGCTTCACCGCCAACCTTCGCCGGGGCTTCGATGTCATGGTCAAGACTTGAGAGTCTCGACCCGTTGACGTTTGCGGACTACCAATGGATGCCTCTTCCCCCGACCGGTCGATTGCCGAAACCGCATTGCAACGTGCTCATGGCACAATTGCGGGATTACTTGCACACTGCAGTACCAGCTCCGTTGATGGAC